ATTTGGACTATGAGATGGACACTTGCTTCTTGCACTTTATGTTGCACTTTACTTTTATATTTCATTTGGTTTAATTAAAATATAGTTTAATAAAATATTCTTAAGTAAAATAGTTTTTGTTTTTTTTTGGTGGGAAATTAATCGTTTAGATTAATCGATAAATTAGTCGATAGATTAATCGAAATAAAAATAGTCGTTAGTGGCAGCCCTAGTTACCACTAAACGTTGTTTTCAGCTTCAGGGCAGCGTGACCGAGTACGAGTTCTGTCAGGAGGACTACCGTTTGCTGCAGGTGGAGTTCTGGTCCAAGTTTTACGCCTGCTGCCTGCAGTACCAGGATGTGCTGTCCACACCACTCGCCCTGCACATCAGCCCTGCCACAGCCATGGTCTGCGTCCTCAAGAAGGTACCAGATCCCAGCCGCACAGCTGGAAGACTTCATTTAGATGAAGTCCAAAAAGTGCTTCTGTGTATGTAAAAGTCAAATGAAATCAAAATGATCCGTTTACTTCATTGTACACATTTTGGTTCTTATTTGTGTTAATGATTTATTGATACATAACTCTGTTTGTTTGTTTGTCTCACCAGCCTAAAACTTTTCTAATCCATAATTTGATTTGACCCATGTGATTTAATGAACCATTTATTTATTTGAAGCAGTATTCTGTATTTGAAGATGGATCATTTCATGAGCATTGCCACAAAACTTTAGTGCTGCAAAACATCAAATACTTCTGTCTGTAATTATAATACATTAATATTACTTTTTTGGTGTTAGGAACTGTTCCATTGACCTCTATACTTCCTAAAAAGCCCATTAAGCTTCGAACACATTGAACCTTAGCTAAGTAAACACTGCCACCAGCAGTACATTCAGTAGTCTGTGCACACTGGGAATCACATTTTCTCAATGGACCCTTTTCACAAGACTGTGATGACGCATTTAACGGTCATCAGCATCGTAAATCCTCGAAAGTTTTTCATATTTGTATTTAAAAAATTTTTTATCTACATTTATAACACTATTCTTTGTATTATATCACCTTTGCATCAAATTACAAAAAAACAGTTAACGCTAATGCGAGGGTGTTGTGGTTGCCGCAAGCCCGCCGTCCGCTCCTTCGTCGAATCCGCCGGCGGGTGGCGCCGTTCTCAAGACTGCCGGCCTCCGCTCACTCTAGCCGCCGGCCTGAAAGCGAAACTACTTTGTTTGGTCTTCCAAAAGAGGACACGACTAGAAATCAGTGGTTAAGTTGTATTTACAACACTGTTCCAGAACAGTTCAACCCAAATATTCAGATGTGTGCAGCACATTTTATGGAAGACTGTTTCCTGATCCTGGTAGAGTAGACTACAATGCCGGCTGTTCTGACTCACAGAATGTAAGTACGTTTTTTATATATAAAGAATTTGCCACTGACGATTAAAACGAGAGTTTTTTGGGCAGTGTAGAGTAGCGCTTGTTGTTTTAGCCTAGCTTTATTATGTTTTTCTCCACTCGCAGAAGCGCTTCAGGTGCGTGATGTGACCATGTGAATCCTCCTGTTCTGTTGTTTGCTGCTTTTTTCCCATGTAAAATTAATCCCCGGGAAACAAATGTTAGTATTTTTAACGGGTCACAGACACTTATCCTTTCTAATTTAATTAAATTCTAATTTAAAATAATCTTGTCAGTTAACGGTTAATAATCGGTTAACGAGCGTCGGTTGTCGGTTAGGAAAAATAACCGAAATGAACATCC